ATACATTTTAATATATTGCGCCTGCAAATAATATATACCTAGTAACAATATAATATACTTAATATTTATGTATTATTATTAAACAGCATAATAATATGGGGACTTCTTCTAGCAGCGTGCGACGGTACGACGGAATTCTCCGGATTAATAATATAACTGATGAGCGATTTAATGTTTTATTTTTTTCAGTCCTCATTGTGAACAATGATAACAGTTTTTTTACCCAAGTCCGAGACCGGATTCGGCGACGGTTGTATCTAGGAATGTTTAAGTATACCTACAGGTATATTATAGAAATAGTTGTTTACGAGTCGTACGGAGCGGAATTCGAGTAATCGTCTAGAATTAGCTGGCAGCAGCGCTGCCGACGACGGCGCATCAACAGCGACTGTACCTATTACATATATTATTATTATTATTATTATTATTATTACTATTATTATTATTATATACTTCACTGTAAATGCTGTAGTCAAACCTATTGGGGAATTCGATTATTATTATTATTAATTTTTTTTTTGAATTTTTATCGTCTCTAGAAAATTTGCAAACCGGCCTGCACCGCTATACTGTAGCTGGAATCCACACTGTGCTGCAGTATAATAGTTTACTACCATCTACAACCTATGCCTACAGCCCATAAAATAATACACAATAATGAACTGGCGGGTGGACGTTTTTATAACGACGACCGTCGTCATCCGTTCAGTTCGGCCTGCTGCTGTGTACCGCAGTCTGCAGCTATACATTATCCGATCCCCGAACACGGCCGCACGCACGTATCACAAATAATATATATATTATTATTATTATTCAAGCCGGAGTACCTATACGCGTATACCTTTATTATATTTTAGAAATCAAACGCGTTTGTGGCGCGCCACTAAATCAACGGTTTAAATGGCAAAGGCGTATAATAATAATACAATATATAATATGGGTGTCATATATAGGTACATGGTATGAAACGTGTATGCAGGTACCTGTACATACTACAATATTATAATGTAAGATATACCTTGTCCTCAAACGCGAAAACCGCATCGAATGGCTGCCCATAAATATGTTATTTATATGATATCATAACGTTCGGCGTTTGAGGGGGTTGAGCGAGCGCGCGCCACTCTTGTGTGGTTTTTACGCAATGATTTCGGGGTGACTCGGTGAAACACGATTTCGGGTGAAAACGCGTATTGTGTAGTTATACCACCCAGCGAGAGGGTGTAAGAGTATTTTCACCGCAATCGAGGTCGTCTTCGGAGTCCTATATGTGCCTACTGCCTATATACATGTGCACTATAACAATATTATGCTCCAGCGTTGTCCGCCGTGACCGCACGCGTTTGATGCACCCGCCGCCGCCATATAAGGAGTTATTGCGGCGCGTCTTCGTCGAGGGTGGTAGTTCGTCGTATTTAGGACCGAAAACCTTCGTGCGGATTATTTGCGAGATGTTCTTTTACTGGATTATCGTAGCCGAAAAATCTCGTGGGAACGGGACGTGCATATTATAAAACGTAGGTATACATATATATATATATATATGTGTGTAGGCGGTAAATACCTACACAAATAGCATAAATGCGCACGAATTTACCATTTTATCATGATATTATTAAATATTATATTATGTTGTATAATATACAATACCGTTTTACAACCGTGCTTGAATACTACGCACCGGCGCGGCGAGACGTTCATTAAAATTTTAATTCCCAAGGTTCGCCGTCGACGGAAAATGAAAAACGCCGGAAACGCGTGACGAAAAAAACAAGACTTTATATATTATATACTTCGGGGAATTCCACACGTTTATTATATTTCTTTGCTCGGAGCGGGACTATATATATATACACGACAATTTCGGTGAAAAACAATACAAAATATGAGTTTCAATTTGGGTCTTTCGTAAAAGAAAAGGAAACAATTTAATATGAAAATATGAGGTCGTTTCATATCGCACTCTGTATATGTATAGCTAGGTAGGTACCTTACCTTTGCAGGACGTGACAAAAGTTAAATATACCTTAAAAAAAAAAGATTACTCCAGAGCGGCTGCAGCTTCCCTGGGGGAGTTGGTTAATTCATATTCTTTATTTTAAGTAATACGAATCGAGAAAGAAATATATATGTACGCAATTATTAAACGTAGTTCGTATAATACGATGATAATATATTTTTTATCCACTAGAAAAAGGCTATAATTTAAAATTCTACGAAAATATTCGAAACTGTTTAATTTTATCTGAAGCAGAGTAACTTGAAGATAAAACCTTCTTTTTGTATTCTCGTCGTCATTATTATTATTATTATTATTATTAATTATGTATAGTATATAGTAATGACTAATGATACGACCATTGTTTTTGTCTCTATCGTTATTTTTTGTATCACGTGTAATTTTTAGCTAATTTTCCGAATCATGTAAATTTAATAGTAGGTAAAAAAAAATACTGATTATTGTGAAAACCGACGCGTTTATAATATAATATGATGCAGACAGGCGAAGAGTAGAAATATAGGTGCATGGATTTTTTTTCATGTTGACGGACTGCATTTTATGATGGCGACTAACTTATTTGTTGCGATATTTGATACCACCGCACACTACAGAGTATCATACAATCGTAACACACACACACACACGCACACACGTGGTTTTGGTACAACCCATAACATTTATAAATATATTATGAGGCTGATAAGAAAAAATCCTCACCCCAATTTGCTAACGCTCGGTTAATTGTCAATATATTTATCACTACGTATAGTAGCCCCGACTATGACGCGGAGCTGCTACAAAGGGGAGGTTTTTCGGTGCTTTGCAGGCGAACGGCTTTTGAAAGAGCGCGTTGATTAAAAGCGTATAATATTAAGTGTGTACCTATATGATGTATAATTTATACTCGTGTGTACGTGAAATCGCCACCGCACACGATTCGAATACTATTTTTCGTCCGGCTCGCTGTCGATCCGATATATGTTAATTCGCCTTTTGATATCAGCCGCGTTCGAAACGAACCGTGTGCGTTCGGACGGAAGATCACGTTAAAACCAAAACCACCGGCTGAGCCTTACACACTACATACCGACTATAGTTACTAAATATATGCATTATAACAGTACTAAATTTCTACGACTATATATTATTATATAGTAATTTGCATAATGCGTATAGTAAAATATTAAGCCACGTATTTATAATAGGAGGTTGCATGTTGTAGTGGACAGTATTATAATAATAACGTTTTTATAATTGCTCATCTATCACCGTGTGATATTTGTATGGTTCGTATGATATAGATACAATAATGACGTATAATAATTTTTTGTAGAAGAATTCCACTACAGGGAAGACTACTATAATGAAAAATACATATAGGTTGTCATCAAAACAATATTTAAAACAATAAAAATTCGATTTTTGGAAAAAAAATATTTAGAATGTCAATGCATGTTTTGCACTCGAGTATATAGGACAAATAATGGAAATTTTTTTAAAAATCACGAAATCTGACTGCAGTAAGACAATTTTTATTTGAGTGCAGCCTGTCAAATTCTTCATCCCGGATGTATGTAACCGAAAGCGATTATTGCTATTGATTTTGATACTCATTAATTAAATCCGCGAGAGTGCTCGAGATGAAACGACGTGGCGAATTGCGTGGCGTGCTCAAATGCTCGCGGTCGATGACGGTTCGTTAAGTATAATTATTATAATATAGCCGCTCAAGGTGTGCGACATGACGTAATCGGACCGAGAAAGATAATATAGTACATAACACTAATCCGAAATGTAACCTGGATGCGTCCGTGTGTTCAGGTATGCGGCGAAGTGTCCCGGAGACCTGCAAAAGGGCGGCATGCGATTCGGATTTCCGTCGAAAGACGATCTCGGGCACCCGCGGCTACGACTTATCGGTTTAATACACGCCTAGTATAGTATCGTATTCGACCACGAGCGCCCACACCGTATATTATACCGACTGTATATGTATATACGTGTATTATACACTGCAGTGACAGTTAGGTGTATGTCATATTTTTATAATGATATTATATCGCGCATAACTCAGATCTCACACCGCCGCCGCCGAGTATACGGAGGTCTGACTGCGTTTGTCGAGTAGGATATCGAAGATATTTATGTATATATAATATTATACTATCTAGTTGTAGTTGTATGTGTTTTACACGATACGGTGAATTAAGGAGACTTTAATATTATAGTGCACGTGCGACGCGTCCCACTATTATATTACCTATGGGCTATAGTATATGTATATTGTATGATATACTTAGTACATGTAATATATCTCTAGAAGTTGACCTTTTTTTAAGGGCAACACTTCTCGCGACAGTCGAAATTCGTTGGCGGGCAGTATATATTGTGATACGCGTGTGTTTTGCTTTTCACAATTTTGACCAGTAGCATATTTTATGTTTTTTTTTTTTTTAATACAATTTAATAAATCCACCGAAGTCTTTACTTGCTGTCGAAATTTCTATAGTATACAACGTTCCAGCAATATTATATTATAAAATAAATGTATGAAAAGTTCAAAATGGATATTAAATATTATTATTTTCCGAAATATCGTCGTCGAAAAGGATCAGGTGACTAACGAACGAGTTAAATACATTAATCCAATACATTGTTCCACATTGATACTACTTGTACTTGATAGTATACGGTAAAGATAGTGGAATGATATTATCAATATAGTTTTTAGAATCGAAAACGATTTTTTTATGTTATGTTTTTTTTTAAGAATTGTTCTTTCAAACGTAGCGATATTTCATACAATTTACTGGCGAACGTGTGAAACAATTTTCGCGATACACCGTAATGGGTGTTCACAACTGTACTCATAATTTTGGAAGTTCTCCAAGCGAGGTCGATAAAATAAAAAAAAATGAAAAACGTGTTAATGACGTATATATGATAGCCTGGTGTATATGTATATATAAATGTTAAGTTCTTATGTATATATACTTACACAGTTATGTTCGCAAATGTTCTTCATGTTCTTGCCTTCGGTCTGCAGTACTTCACAATACTTCCAACACTGTAACAAAAATGAAAAAATCGATATAATATTAGTACAATACAAAGCAATTTATATGGTTGTTAAACGCGCATCACGTAGGGGAAGGAAATAGAGGAGAAGAAAAAAAGAGACGAAAAATATCTCAAGCCGAGTCGGCTTGACGAGTGGACATTTATTAATGCGGTGACCGCGGCGGGCGGAGTGAGCGGGCGAGCGTGATTGCGTGGTACGGGGGCTGATTTTATTTACTCGTCAAAAAGCTTCGGTTCCTGCGCCCAGTAGACCTCGGGTGGTTGAGGGATGGGTCGGGTGTGCGAGGGTTTGCCGGAGTACTCGCGCGAATGTATATCGTTAACAATACAAAGTCCACCACACCCTCGAAAAAATATCTCCACTGCAAATACACAGACGATGTAGAGCACGCGCGGTACGTGTACGAAAAAAAGAGAGAAACTTTTTCGAGCGAAAGACGACCCCTAGCGCACGCACTCACGGTCGCGGACGCCTTTAAGGAAGACGTGCAGAGACGCGTCTCGTGCCGGGACAAGAGGGTGGGTGTGTGCGTGTGTGTGTGAGCGCGGTGCCAATGTGTTCGGAAGGGGCGACTGATGGAGGCGGGAAACGCCAGTGGCCGAAAAAAGATAAATTGCTCTATTGGGAAAACCGGTCACGTACTCGCGACGAGACTCTATATATATAGATGAGCGGACGGGCGGGAAATCGCGAGTGCGTCATTATTGCTTTTGCCCAGCGCACACCCCGTGCTCAACCACCCCCACCCCCTTCTTATCCGACCAACACCGCTGCTATAACCGACAGCCGAAACCTCAGGGCGTCCTTTTATACGTATATACGCACATGTATGATAATTTGCACTATAATATTATGATATATAGGTACCAAGCACAAGACGCGAGCGATAAGGCATTTTTCTCGCGATGTTTTTTCGACCACCCACGTGGTTCTCTTATCGCCGAAATTGGTTGTGTCCTTTGAGGTTTGTACCCCGACACCATCTTAGACACACGTGTTTACATATAGCTGTATTGTGTGATAAGCATTGCACTGTTTGAAACCTGCTAATCCGATATCGCCAATCGGCATCTTATTAACGCGCTTGTAGGTGTAACTTTTTGGAAAGCGATTTGTACTTCAAACGCCTCGTTGGATTATTTCGTTTTCTATGTCCGTGGGCTTGAGCGTCGAACAAAAAAAACCACGATGGTCGACACATGACATGTAAGTGATTTGCCAGGGGGGGTACGTCATATATATATGTACCTATTATACTCAAATTATACTCGTGTACGGTTTGGTTTAGAAATTTACACACATATACGCCTGCAAGCACATATTATGACAGCTTTGAAAAAATTATGAATAGAAAAAGATTCTGGAAAATAGAACAAAAAAAAAAAAATGGACGACTACAAATATAATACTCGAATATTATCGTTAAATTACTATGTATGGTACCTATATTATCAAAACTGTGATAATACCGACTAAACACAAATTGTGCATTTCCACATGTACGTGAAGAGGTTAGGTCGGTTTCGGGCTACAGTGTTAAGGCACACTACCTACAATTGTCGCTGCTCTAAGGTTCTGTTTATAAATAATATATAGGCCGTAACGATGTGATGGGAAAAATATAAAGACGTCTAGGGAGAAATATCTACAATTTCGTCTGTATTCATCATCGTCCGTTAGAAACTCGACAAAGTCATTATTGTGCTATTGTATCATAGGCAACTATACTAATGAGAAAAACGACGACCTCTAACGCGAGCATTCAATTATTATTATTATTATTATTAGTATTATTATTATTATTTTCGTAAACTGTAAAAAATCGAAATAAATGATCGATTTTCGTTTTTAATTTTCGATATATATTCAAGAACCTGTGAGTCCCGTACGATGCCGGTTCCACCGGATGATGAAGTTGATCTCCTATTTGGTTTTCCTCGTCGGCTTCTACAATTTTCCATTAACGCCCGACCAATTGAGGTCCGCAATCTCCGTCGTCACGAGAACCGCTACAGTGTATACGTACGCCCGACGGTTAATCACTTGCCATCACCATGCTTATAATAATATTACATTATTATAACCCGAAGCTGCTGCGTGATATATATATATACGGCATGTGATGTACGCGGCGGAACAGTAGTGTTTAATTTTCAGAGGTGGGGAACACGTGGGCGAGGATGGAAGTCGGACGGTGCAGCGGCAAATAAATATTACCCGGTAGCCCCGCCGCCGGCAAGTATTTATGTATAAATATAGTCAGAGGTAGGTAGGTAGGCAGATAGGTAGGTAGGTTTGGGTACCTATACACATAAGTACATAATATATATAATATTAAAATACTAGTCGCAGTGGTTATAGTACTTGTATTATATAGTGGTAGCTGCAGTGTAGCATAGAAGTAGTTGTATATTAATAATAATAATGGCAGCTAATCAATCAGTCGCCAGGCGATTCGTTATGCTCGGACAGTGCACCGCTTATTATAATGGTCGTCGTCGTCACCGTTTAAAGATATTATGCTAATGAAAAACCTTCGGCCGCCGGCTGGGTCGTGTGCAGTTCGCATTCATTATGCACGCGTTTAATAAGCGCTCAAGTCGTCCGTTATAATCTCAGCACGTACATCATATTATTAAATAGGTACGCGATTGGCATCCGTTTCGCAGGTGTCGGCAAGAGACGCTGCTGGGGAGCCGCCCGGCGTCAAATTTTCCGAGTTGCCCGGGACTCTACCGCCCACAGCTCGCGGTGGGTAATATTATTGTTTGCCTCGATCTCCGATTGTATACGCGTGACACGTGACAGTTCGATATAGGCGTCGTAGATTTTCGAAATTGGCCGTTTGAATTGTAGGTAGATAATGTAATAAGGCCCGACCGGCCGTAATGCGCAATAAAGCCGGCGGTATTATCATAGCGGTAATAAAAAAAAAAACTGGCGACGAACCGCCAAAATAAATCAATACCTTTTGACCTTGATCGCGTGAGCCGTCTATAATATAATACGCCGCATATCCTGCGGCCCCTGCAGTACCCACACGACTAGATAGAGCTGCTTCTAACCGGTAATCGCTAGAAGACATTTTTTTTTTTTTGTCTTTGGCTGTTGTAACATATATCTTTAATAGTCTAAAACAACAATAATATTGTCTCCGTTTGATATCTATTCGTCTATCTTTCATTTTCGTTGTTACATTATCATTCGTCCTTTGTTCTACGCCAAACCTGCGGTACTATATTATATATATATGTATATGGCTCACTGTACAATGTATATAAGACTAGTGTTTGTGTGTGTGTGTGTGTGCGTGTGTGCGTGTACAATCAAACGACCGCTGCCTAGTCGGACGACTATCACGGGCTTTCGGTCGTGTAGCGGTAACGCGATAACGGGTCTCCACGACTGTTGGACGAAACTTAAAACGCACTCATGCAGTCTTACAACTGCTCTGCAGCTGCTACTGACGGGCAAGCGCCAAAACGGTGGCTGTAGGGGAGGGAAGAGGGTGAACACGACCGCATTCAAAATGGAAGTGACATTTCGCCGTCGTCGTCGTCGTCATCGGCGAAGCACAAGTAAATCCGGTTAACGCGGAAAATGGATAACGCTACTAATGTGGACGTAATAATATGCCGCAGAATATAAAATTGTATCGCGTGCCTAAATAGATATAAGTTATATTGCGATGTCAATGTTTAAAGAATTTTTGTTATTTTTTTTTTACGACGATCATTAAAAAAAAAAAATGAATAACATTAAAAATCATGACAACCACGTATGCTGCATGTAGGTTTGGAGTTCAACCTAAATATTATATGAAAATATAAAATGTTCAACTTAAATAATAATAAACCTCCCAACTAACATACGAAACACCTACCGTCGTCAATCCGACTATAGATGGCTCAACCTTTGCAGAGCTACGTACTACTTAACCATGTAATCTGTCTTTACAAATAATCTTTCTATACAAGTAATTTCATTTTATTTTTATTTCTGTACATATTTTCTCCAGATTGTATACTCAACAAGAGTATTTTATATAATTCTTTAAAAAATATGTACCTACCTTTAAAACCTTTCTATATAATATTACAGTATTAAACTCTTAATTTTTATAAGTTATGCGTCATAAACGTCAGAATAACTTATGACTTATATGCCCCATCTAATATTTCCAAATGAATGACATTAAATTATAAGTATTAAAAGTCATAAACGTTACAAAATATCTTTATTGCAAAGGCTATAAGCGGATGTAGTGCATTGTTGTTTTTTCATCATTTATTGAGAAAAGCGTGTGTTCGCGGGGTGACGTTCGGTCGGTCGAACAGATTTCTGACGGAGATGAAGAAAAAAAAATATTAAAAACGTTTTTCCCCTCCGAAAAATGAATTCCGTCGTCGGACGGGTAACAAGTGTAAAGCATCTGGCGTCCGATGTTTATTTATTTTTGTATATATATACATATATATATATATATATATTATATCACCATTCGTCGACGGCCCACACGGTTAGCTATTCGTATATGTATAAATGGGTTCTCATTGGAGTAGAAAAAAAATGAAAACAGAAACGATGAAAAAAATCACTATATTTCGGCCGTTCCCTAACAGATTGTGCGCGAAACTACTTACGCCTTGCACACAGCCCTAAAATTATACAGATGCGTAGAATGAAGAAAATATATAATATTTTCGTGTCTCTATTTAATGATAGTACATAGGTAAATAAAGTAATGACGTCGATGCTGTGGTAAAGACACTGTTCCTACACGATACCGCGGTATGACCAAGCAGCCCTAAGTCGGGTGACGCTGTGAGAACGCAACAATATTATTTTTGTCCTCCAATATCAAGTGCAGCTCCGTCGACGGCTGTGCAAATAAGTGTAGTACAAAATGATTTAAATATCGTTGAAAATATGCTGTACAGTGAGTGATATGTCCCCGCCGCCGGAAAAATCTACGTGGTTGGCGC